AAAATAAGAACCAAGATGGATTATGTAAAGGTGCAAATTTCCAATGATGAATGTCATTATATTGTATACCTTAAATGTACCAATAAAATTAATAATAAAAAAAGGAGGTTATGAGGAACTAAAAAGTCTTTAAATTATCAGTCTGGAGTGTACAAGGCCTTGCTAAGAGAGAGAGGAAGGGAGAGGGAGCTAACCAGCAGTCCATATATGTAAGAGTGTTAAACCTAACTACTTCTCGAAGTGATGACATTAAAATGAGACTTTTAACCTACCACCCAAGCAATCATTTTTAGAGATTAGTGCTGTAATTAGTTTAAGAGAAATAGGTATTTTTATGCATGATATATAGGAATAGATGGATGCTTTCAAACATTTATTTCACTGATAAAAGTTTTAAATATGGATACTCTGGCCTCTTAGTTGCAGGTCTAGGGATCTCTCCTGACACAGTGCCAGCTCTTGTGCACAGGGTTGTACGTGGTGGAGTCCTTACAGCAGTGGCCTGTTTGCAATAACAAACCGAGAAACACTTTAAATTCCCATCAGCATGAGAGGAAGTCAAAAGAAAATGTCCATTAATGTGGAAAGATTTCCAAGGAATATTTTAGTTATAACGTATAAAATGCAGATAGCGAAACAGCACTCCAGTGTGACCCAGTGTGCCTTTGCCGTTGGTTAGCAAGGGCACCAGAAGGTCATCCCAAAATTTCCTTCCAGAGTCTTTGCTCTGAAGAGTAGTTATGTGTTGTTTGATCATTGTTTTTTTTTTTATTTCTTTTTTGTGGTGTTGGGGATAGAACCCAGGGCCTCATACATGCTAGGCAAAGCTACCACTGAGCTACACCCTTGGCCTTTGTCTGTGCTATTGAAAAAAGTATTCTAAGGCAGAATTTGGAAGTAACCTGCAAATGCACCCTGCAGGAGAGCAGGTAAGCAGTTGTCTCCTCCTTCAGGTGAGGACATAGCCCAGTGACCTCTCTCTAGGCTAGGAGCCCTGGAGCCTCTCACATGGATTGGGGATTCCTTCTGTCTCTCAGGCAGCCTGTGTTAACGGGATCCTCTACACCCTGAGAGTGCCTCAGCTGCAAGTGGTCTCCACAATGACTGTGTTTTCTAACACCTTTGGAAATCTGCTCTGCTCTCCTGACCAGCAATGGGTATTTGTGTCTCCACAGGACTCAGATGTGCACCCAAAGGTCAGTGTCTGTGAGCCCCTTTCCCTTGGGTTTGTGAGTGGAAGATGGAGTGTCTGGAACCCTGAGGCTGTGGGATGCATGTTCTAGAGCTGCTGCTTGCCTAGGACCAAGCCCTGCAGCAGGGCAGGAGCAGGTCCTGGTTACTCATTGAGAGCCCCATTCTGTTTCCCTCCTGGGGAGGCTCAGGGGCTTTTGCTCCAGTATGTCTGCTCTCCGCTGCCATGCTGCCTGTGAGCTAGAGGGTGCCCCCTGCTGTGGAGGGCAGAGGTCATTTGTAAACAGGTTTGGGGGCCTTAGGAACATGGTGGTGTAAACATTCAAGAGCTATTTGGTAGTATGAGGACCAAGCTTTGGTGAGAGCAAGAGCAAGAGGCACAATAAGAGGAGAAGCTGACAAGGAAAAGCATCTGGGACCTGGAGAAGGAAGCCTTAGCACTTTTCTGAGCTTCCTGCATTGAATTTGTGTGTGAGAAGCACCCTGTCCCCATCTTCTTGATGCCCCATGAGTCATAGAGTCCTGACAACTCATAGGCACAGAGATATCCAGTCACTTGTTGGAAACAAAGCACTTTGAGTGCCAGAGCCTGAACCAGGAAATTGGAGCATGGTAAAAAGCAGACAGCTGGGAATGTCTTGTGGAAGAAAAAGGACAGATCAAGAACAAGGAAGGACTGGGACCCTAGCCACCTAAAAGCCAGGGAGGCAAGTGGTCAGAGAAGAGAGCCAGGTATAGAAAGGCCATGGGAGGGGCTACCAGGACCCCTAAGAAGGAGGTGCAACCAGGGGGAGGCAGGAGATGGGAAAAGACTATGGAGGAAGATATTTGAGGCAGCAGTGACTGCAGTTGTTCTAGACAAATGCTTATCATGTGGTTTATGCATCACTGTAACCTCACTGGGATATTTCCAGGGCACCAGATGTGAGCTGAGCTTAAGCTTGAAAAGCCTCTGGTCTGGACAGGAGACTGTGCCATGACACAGGCTGCCTAGGTAGACCAGCAGGGCCAGTGTGTGTCTGCAGCAGAGCCAACTGCTTGGTAGGTACAGGAATCAGGTGGGGCTAGGGGCTTTCTGAGGGCTCAGGGTTTGAGAAGCCCCTTCTTACCTTCACTGTGACCATGCAGGGCTGTTTCCCCAGCTGTTCTACACTCAGTCCTTGCTATACCCATTAGATAAGCCTCCTGTCTGCACTACCCTCCCTCTCTGGATGTCATCTCAAGCCTGCTGGGCACCCGATGAATTGGCCAGACTGATTGTGGTGCACAAAAATGAAAATGAAGATGACATGCAGCTGGTTGTCACTACCTTTGAATTAAGAGCCAAGAAATCATCCAAGAACAGGGTGGACATTCTGAGTAAGGGTCCCTGTGCTGGACATGGTCTGTTTGTTACTGCCACTGCAGTATGATGCTTCCATGGGAAGTTTCTCACAGTTCCTTGGGACACTTTTTCGTCTCTCCAAGTGAAACAGTGATATAGTGGCCCAGTCAAAGTTTTGAGTTTCTGAACTGGTAGAGTGATGGACCACGATGGGGCCCCTCTGTGGCCCTGAGATTCAGACATTAAATACTACTCACACCCACATGCTCCCTCCAAAATGATCTTCCTGCTTTCATTCAGTCCTCTTTGCCCCGCTATTTTTAGCACTGAGTGCAAAGAAAGATTAATAAAAGCCAGAACTATCTTCCCCATGGCGCTCCTGGTCTAGTAGGAAAATAAGACCCGCAGTCCTCTATTTAGTAGAGCTGTCTCTTCTATTTCCTAAACCCAACATCACTCTGATAGGTCCTGGCATTTTCTCCTTTATATCATATTCATTTATTTTTATATCATTTGGCTATAAATTTAACTGAGCTTGCTAGTCCTTGAGAAAAAAAGGAAATGAAATGTATAATGTACCCCTTGTTAGATAATGAGAAAGCATGTGAATTCTTCATAAGAGGTAATTTTTTTTCCTCTGGTAAAACAATGCTATATAGTATAAAAGACAGCATGTTTGACAATAGGTTATGGCCAAAGTAATAAATGTCATATAGTTGTCGTGTCATTTCTTCTTTCACCCTGTCTTTGATAGGAAAGGGAAGAAAGAAGGGAGCTGCCATTCCCTGAATGATTCTGTGTATCAGACACTGTGCTGATCACTTTACAGATGCAGTGCACTTTACAGCCCTAGGAGTGTGGCAGCATGACTCATATTTTGTTGCTAATGAGGTAGAGATTTAGGAGAGTGAATGCATGTGTAAGGGCTTAGCATAGGTCAAAGTACAAAGCCGTTATCCCTTTAGGGATAGGCAAGGCATAGATCTGCTCCAGACAATCCCATCTATATGTTTTTTATTTCCCAAAGTAAAACAGGTGGCCAGTTTCTTGCCAGACACCTTGATGTCACCTCACCTAAAGGGAAGCAATACTCCCAAACTCATTCCTGGAAGCAAGCATCACCTTGATCCCCAAAGCAGAGAAAGACCCAACCAAAAAGGAGAACTATAGGCCAGTCTCACTAGTGAACATACATGCAAAAATCCTTAATAACATACTGGCAAATAGAATGCAGAAGATCATCAAGAAGATCATACACCCTGATCAAGTGGGGTTCATCCCAGGGATGCAGGGATGGTTCAACATACGCAAATCAATCAATGTAATACCCTATATCAATAGAGGCAAGGACAAAAACCATATGATTATCTCCATAGAC